CGTGAGAAAATTCTGAAGGTAAGTGGTTCCTGATTGGTCAATTCAATTCTGACGTCAGTGCATAGTAACTGCCTTATTTGGTAAAGCTACTACACAGAGTTTACGATGAGCGTCTCTTTGACATGAAGCTGTTTGAACTGTACGAAATAACGAGAGAAAAAGAAGAATTTTTGAGGTATTTGCGTGTAAATAACATTATTGGAAATTGGGACGGAAAGATTTGTGCCAAGTGCCGGACAGGATCCTTTTATTTGTGTAAAGACAAATCATACAGTACCGACGAGCTCTGTTGGAAATGAAACAGGAAATCGTGTGGAAAAAAACTGTCAATAAGACACAATTCCTGGTTTGAGGGCAGCAAACTCAGCCTTGCGAGTATAACCTTACTAACGTATTTTTGGGTGTACAAGGTACCCCAGGATTTTGCCAGGAGAGAACTAAATATAAATTCAAGCCATACTTCTGTTGATTGGTATAACTTTTGTCGTGAGATATGTGTGTGCGTGGCAGACGAGGACAGTGAAGTGATCGGTGGAGAAGGGAAGATTGTAGAGATAGATGAAAGTAAATTTGGGAAAAGGAAGTTTAATAGAGGAAAGAGAGTTGAGGGAAAGTGGGTGTCTGGGGGAATTGAGAGGGACTCGAAACGTTGTTTTTTTCAGGTGGTCGAGGAACGTAGTTCAGCCACGCTCATTCCGATTATAAAGAAACATATAAGACCAGGCACTACAATCATTAGCGATTGTTAGAGAGCGTATACTTGTTTGAAAGATGAAGATTTTGAACATTTAACAGTAAATCACTCTCTCAATTTCAAAGACCCATTTACAGGCGCCCACACCAACACTATAGAATCGTCGTGGGGGGCACTGAAGAGATCACTACCCAAAACGGGAACAACCACTGATATGTACTGTTCATATTTTGAGGAATTTTGTGTGCGCAGAAAATACTTAGACCAAAGACAAGATAAATTTGAAGGTTTTCTGGAACTTATTCGACGGGTTTATAACCCACACGCTAGAGATGATGAAATCATCATTCGCCGAAGGCCGCTAGCAGTTGTTCAAGACAACATGAACAACAGTTTAGAGGATTTTCAACTATAAAAGGTAAGTTATTTTATATTAGGTAAACTTACCCTACCCCTAACACCAAAGAAGATAATAAAACGGGGATCCACGGGCTAAAGAAGTCAGTGTAAACAGGTAAGGATACTTATAGCGGCAGTAAAATGGCGGCGATAATTGAGACGCCTTGGTTGCTAAGGAAGTAGTTCGCGCACATTTTGTGAGCACGATAAAAGATGGCGGAAGGTATCCGGTGTAATGCATTCTTTCCATAATTAAATATGTGGAGTAATAGATTGAACACAGTTTTAATAGGCTAGCGCTTTCAACTCGTACAACGTACGAATCTCATCAGGCCATAACTGAATAACGGACATGAAGTAGTAACATATAGTTACGTGACGTCATAATATTTAGGAAACTATGACGTCACAATACCAAGGTGACAATGGACAAATAACTTATGCCTTTACATTTAACATTGGCGCGTATTTATGAATGAAATGTTGCTCTTTTTGAAACAATGTAGGTTCATGATCAAAATTTAGCTTGTATAGCGGGAAAACTAAAAAGTTGCCGTTTCCACATGCTTCTAAATGTTCACTGAGTGGAATCGTGCGGTTGTGTGGCTGCTTTATTTGTGACCGGTGAAGATAATTCTTTTTAATTTAAGTTCTGTCTTTCCGATATACTTTTCATTGCATCCACTACAAACAATCAAGTAAATAACATTTCTAGTATCACAAGTCATATTTTGTTTTACAGTAAATTTAGTGTCCTTTGTAATTTGGACTGAACAGCCTTCAATTATATTGCTGCAGGTTAGGCAACGTTTGTCACCGCACTTAGAAACCTGTGGAGTGATGACAACAGAATCAAATTTAGAACTTGTCAAAATCTTTCTAAGATTTTTGGGTTGTCTTTGTATATGTAACAATTCTCTATTCATTTAAACTGTATGGTTAACAACTGTGCGTTCTGATGTGAGTTATGTAGTTATCTACTACATTTTTACACAGACAATGAGTCGGAAACACACACAAACACACACAAATACATACATAATTTTGACAAAACTATACTTAAGATATACATAAAATATTACAATGATAGCTGATTTAATATATGTTATAATTTTAACAATGTGGCCACACTAATTATTATGTCTCTCCATGCATATGTGTAGTTTACAAAAGTACACATATCAACGGTGGTAACGCCACAGCGATGGGGGCAGTGGGGTAGCCTTGAGGTTAAAGCGTTCGCTCGTCAAGCCGAAGGCCCATTTCGATTCCCCACATGGGTACAATGTGTGAAGCCCATTTCTGGTGTTCCCCGTGATATTACTGGATTATTGTTAAAAGCGACGTGAAACCATTCTCACTCACTCACTGACAGCGGTGTTTATCAAATTACTATATGCAAGTTCATATATTTGTAGATTTGCACAAGACAAGAAACACAATTCAAGTTAAACATACATCAAATGTCAAAAAGAACATTTACGGACAACAGTATGACACGCTGTAACATCATATACTACCGAAAACAAGTTATAGAACACCCACAATTATAAGATTGTATTTTTGCAAAACAATCAGCCATGACTAATAAACCATAGTCTTCTTAACTTCTTTTGAAAAGTATATATTTAGATTTTAACCTGATATATTTAGAGCGTATTGCCATGATCTGCCACATTCATACAACTGAATAGGGCCATAAATCAATCAATTACATTTAACGCAAAACTCTGGATTGTTTTAACATCACCTACGTCTGTACAATTAAATTATGTTTAAAGCAAATAGTGAGAAAATTTCAACATTCCCTCCCTATTGCAGCAGATATCACATACGGCCCCTACAGAGGTCAAGAGCGGATATTGCTTAACCGCGAGAAAGCGAGAAAGCGATAGCGCGAGAAAGCGAGAAAGCGATAGCGCGAGAAAACAGTCACGGGTATGGTACTGACCACAGGAGTCCGTATCTAAATATAGACGCCCTCATGCATATTCATGACCATCTCCACACGCGAGCCCGAAGGGAGATGGTCATGAATATGCACGAAGGCGTTTATTTTTAGATACGGACTCCTGTGTACTGACAGACCAACGATCAAAGTAGGGATTCCAAACTATCATCAGCGTATCCAAGCACTGCTAAAGGAGGCAAATCTACACACCGATGCGGCTATACTAGAAAAGCTATTAGATTACGAGTTGACATTATAATGTTATGTTGGTTGTTAGTGAGTGAGTATGGTTTTAAGCCGCTTTAAGCAATATTCCAGGCGGTGGTTGTTCGTATTATATAGAATATACATATATAGAATAGAATGTGAAGACTTGAATTTTCTTAAACAGTTTAATCAAAGAAGACACTATCGAAAAACAGGAGTGAGTGAGTTGGGTTTAACGCCGCTTTTAACAGTATCCCAGTCATATCACGGCGTGTCAGCTTAATGTGGGAGGAAAGCCCGAAGTGATGCAGGCCTCAGACGTTTACCACTTCGGTGAAACCCACGAGCACGGGTATGGTGCTGACAAACCTAGAAACATAATTGGGGCGAATCGGGATTCGAACCCACAATCATAGGTTTCTGGCGTGCTCAAGGGACGCAACTCAGCACAGCGAATCGCGACGCCTTAGACAACAGATTCAGTACAAACACATGTAACGGTGTAATCGCCATTGACTCATGTGTAGGTGTATACCTAATGACAAGATGGTAGATCATTTGCTTCTTTCGCTTTAAGAATATTCATCTTAACGATGCTTCATTATTAAGGAAGGTGACCCGAGTAGATCCGGGGTAGAATAGGTCTTCAGCAACCCATGCATGCCGTTAAAGGCGACTATGCTTGTCGTAAGAGGCAACTAACGGGATCGGGTGGTCAGGCTCGCTGACTTGGTTGATGCATGTTATCGGTTCCAATTGCGTGGATTGATGCTCATGGTGTCAATCACTGGATTGTTTGGTCCAGATTCGATTTTTTACAGATCGCCGTCATATAGTTGGAAAATTGCTGAGTGCGGCGTAAAACAACAAACCAACCAATTAAAGAGGGTGATCCTCCATACTATATTATTTTGTTATAAGATTGATATAGATCTATTACATGATAAAGATTGAGAAAATAAGAAAGAAAACCACAGTCTAGTGATTTTATTCATATTCTTTTTGATTGCGTTCTATATGTGAGACATAAGTGGGAAAGAAAAGGTCGACCCCATGAGATTTTACCTTTCTTCCAATGTAATACAGCTGTATTAGTATATGAAGCGTCCGTCGAATATCAACACGCTTGAACCTATGATTAATTATTGGTTGGTTGGTTAAACGCCACACTCAGCAATATTCCAGCTATTTGACGGCGGTCTGTAAAAAATCGAGTCTCGACCAGACAATCCAGTGATTGACATCATGAGCATCGGTCCACGCAATTGGGATCGATGGCACGCATCAACCAAGTCAGCGAGCCTGACCACCCGATCCCGTTAGTCGCCTTTAACGACAAGCATAGTCGCCTTTTACATAATGATTAATTATTGACTCCAGTTTGTATTATACATGTATAAGAATAATGAAAATATCTTCGAAAGAAATGTGGGTCTAGATTCTATATTATGTTATTTTCTCATACATTATGATTATATTTTAATAGATCTAGATCTATAAGGATATTATTTTTGCATTCTCAGTTCCAGCAAAGACGTCTTTGGTTCCATGGCGGTTATTACATGGAATGTGTTGCTACGCTGTTTCTACCCGCTGGTGGGTTTATTCTTTGTTTGGGTGCATTCACAATCGTATGTCTAATCTATATTATCAAATTGTATTAAATATTCCACAAACTAGTAATGACACGCATCGTACATCTATTTTTAGAAATCGTACACGATTATCTCCCTTTCGCGGAATATCCCAAAAACAAACATGGCCGACTTCTGTTGATATTTTGGAAAGCGTTACTCAAGTTTGTGTTTTGTGTTGAATCTAAAGTGCATCTCCCGTGGAATTGTTGTAATTCTGTTACCATGGATACCGGTTCCGTTAATGGCATGGATGACAGCCTCAGGAGACTCGCCAGTTTCCAGGAGTACCCGCTACCAGAGCCAGGCAGGAGGAACCTCGCGTCTTTGTTGACATACAATTCCCCCATGAAGTTGTCAAAAGCTGGGTTTTATCGCCACCCTGAAGCTCTGGGGGACGAGGTGAAGTGTTTCTAGTGTTCCGTGTCGTTCCGGGGATGGTCAGGCGAGTCGCCGATGGCCGTGCACCGTGTCCTTAGTCCGGACTGTGCCTTCTTAGCGAGACACACACCGGCACTTTTGACAGGTCGGAGGCCCGGGAGAACCCGACCAGGTGACCCCCGTAACGTCCGACGACGTTTGCAGATGAGCACACCGACGTCGACGGAGGACCCACCCAGTGACACAGGCTCTGGTACCCAGGAACAGAGCGTTCTGGCTGTGTACGACAGATATAATACTCCCAGAACGCCCGAACAGTTGGACACTGAAAATCAGGTCAATGTGGGTGATGAACGAATTGGGTCGATGTTGTTTGAGAGTCACCGTCTCCTCACCTTCCCCAGCCCTACCCACCCACGGGCTGAGGTGTGGGCGGGGTCGGGGTTTGTGTACCAGGGGGAGGGGGGCGTGGTCAGGTGTGTGTTCTGTGGGCTGGAGATGTTGTATGATGTGGATGAACCTGTCAAGAGACACCAGGAGATGTCCAAGAATTGTCCTGTCATCAAGTACCTGGATATTGGAAATATTCCAAGAGACTTGGAAAACAAGATCAGATCACAACAACTAGGACAATCTTGTGACAACAGCTTTGTGGGTGGTGATCCTATGTTTAAACACCCCCAGTTTGAGGAAATGCAGGACAGACTAGAGACATTTAAATATTGGCCTGAAATCAGACAAACAGCTGATCAGCTTTGCCAAGCAGGGTTCTATTTCACAGGTAAGCTACATTCAAGCATTTGTGTCATGTGAAAACATGTCTATGGCTAAATTGTTAACATGTTTTAGAATGTGTATATACAAAAGATGCACAAATGGATGGTTGTACTATACATGTACTTGCAATATACTTATGTGCAAAATGTAAATGGCTTATAACAAACATATACAATTCACAGAAAACTATAGACATACACTGGATACTTTAAATCATATAGCATTAATAAACTGTCTACACTGATCATGCTGATGACAGGTTCAGTGTTTGAATATTGATTTGAATTTGTGTAATCATGGTAATCTTGTAAGAGACTGGACTTTTCAAACAACTAATAACATTATTTTTTTATATATTTCATGTTGAATATTTAATTTTTGTACATTCCCTCAGGATCCAGTTTATCATGTTTATATATTTTCTGTGTCCAAGCAATGCATTTCTGCATACTGTATATAATATATCATGGGTTATTATAGTTATACATATAACATCTATATTCACCAGGGTACACAGATAAGGTTGTGTGTTTCTGTATAGTGGTGGATCATAAACCCTGTATATAATATATCATGGGTTATTATAGTTATACATATAACATCTATATTCACCAGGGTACACAGATAAGGTTGTGTGTTTCTGTATAGTGGTGGATCATAAACCCTGTATATAATATATTATGGGTTATTATAGTTATACATATAACATCTATATTCACCAGGGTACACGGACAAGGTTGTGTGTTTCTGTATAGTGGTGGATCATAAACCCTGTATATAATATATTCTGGGTTATTATATTTATACATATAACATCTATATTCACCAGGGTACACAGACAAGGTTGTGTGTTTTGCCTGTGGGTGTGGCCTGCATCACTGGAAGCCCGAGGCCGACCCCTGGGTGCAGCATGCCAGACACGCCCCTCACTGTGTCTTTGTGAAGCAGCACAAGGGAGATAACTTTACTTTGGAAGCTCAGGATGCTGAGGTGGGTAGTAACAAAGTAGAATACTTCTTTTTGTTACAGTAAACTATGGTTCTACGAACTCAAATTGACCCTTAAGTTTTATTACCGTATTTAACAAAATAAGCGCCCAGGGCGCTCTCAAAATTTGAAATAGGGGTCTCTGATTAGAATATAATTTTGGTGAAAGAGTTAAAAGTAAATTTTGTGGTTTATGCTGACAGCCTGAAATGTTTATATATGACAGATATATTTTTCCAGAATTTAATTGCCCATAATTCTACCATGAATTTGGAATTTACTCGATTCTGATTGGTCAATCAGAGACTATTAAATCACAATAAACCTCCTCTGAGTGAAACAGCTGGTTTGACGGCCGCATCACCGCGTAGGCTAATATTCATAGAATAGTACTATTTTCAGTCATTGTCGGTAGGCATATTTAAATAATTATATCTACAATTACAGGTTACAAAATGCACAGATGCAGTTACTACAATATTCAAAGGATGTTTGGCAATACATTTTGTGCAGAAAACATGATAGAAATCTACAAAGGGAATGTATTTACGTTTTGGAGATAACAGAGAGCTTGGAATTTTGGCGCTTTTCTTTATACGACTGTGAGACGTGATGGTGATGCGCGATGTAGAGCGAAAGCCTTGCAAAGGATGCTTTGTTTTCTTTAGGGATGCCCACGTCATGTTAGCTTACCAAGTTGCCGTGCTTATATGCTTTCAATGCCTGTCATATGTTCGAGTGAAGTATTAGGGTGTAAACAAACTGCTTGAGTATATACAGCGCCATATTTTGTTCGGTGATTCCGTAATTCAGATCGATAACCCACTCAAAACACTGAACTCAACCCATGCCGCTTCACTCAGAATATTTGCTAACACCAAAGAGTTCACATGTTGTTTAGTCATGGTAGAATGGAGATAAACATACTGTGTTTTCAATGTAAAGCTTGGTTACCTGTAGATTAAACCGTGCTAAATTTAACATTTGAAACATCACGCTGCAAGTTCGGTTCCAAATTCAATACAACATGATACAAAGTTTTGTGATCTATTCCTGGAAATAATGTTAAGTTTAAGTTTAGCCAAGAGAATATTAAAACTCATTGTGATTCTCACAGACATAGAAAGTGCAATTTATGCAACAGACAATCGACGTCCATATCTAAGTTACATATTACGCTACAATTTCATGCAGTAGATATCTCAACTGATGAGATAATCATAACTGGATGAACTGAAGATTAAATTCAATACTGCATAATTCTGTATATTGTATTGGTAAAGAAGAAATGGCATTTACAAATAAATAAGAAACAAGTTTCAAATTAACATAATCCTCTATTGATCACGATAATAGCTAAAGTTACATGTCAATATTAGGTCGTGTGAATTCGTATGGCCACTTGAAGTTCATTTTGGCTAGTGATTAAATATTTGTACTTAGTTATCAACAACATGAACAGGAAGGCTTAAGAATGAACATGAGCCCTGTGAAGTGCAGCTTAGACATGTGCAAGTTATAGTGTTTGAAATACATCAGAGCAAAATGTTAAAAATGTTAGACTTCCTACGTATGACTTTAATTTAAGTTTAAACAACAAACCAAAACACCACTCACTGATATTAAAATGATGATATATTGTATTTCAACTTTCAGCTAGAAAATATAAATCACTTCCCTACTACCGGTATTTGTATTATCCACTGACAAATGATCTTTTGATGATAGTAGGTATAAAGTATTCTCTGAGACCGTGTTATTCACATAATGTGTTGGCCATGTTGAGTCATTGAGCAGAAAGTCTTACCTTGACACTCAAACAAGACACTACGCTAAGTGTATAGATTGACTCCAAATAAGACATCAAAATATCTCAAATAGATAACCCACTACTCAGATTGAAACTGTCACACTCCTTGTCCCAAGATTGAGACTTAATTACCATAGATAGTATTGTATTGGATTGTTATGTCCAACCCTTCAATAGCCAGCACAGTCAGTTTGTATATAACAAGTATCTTGTTGAGGCCAAACCCCGAGAATGTGTTCATTCTGAAACTAACTTCTAACATTGTATATCATGACCTGTAATATCTTTGTTCTCTTTCACAGGCTCTGACAGAGAGCGACACAGCTGAAGGTGGGTGATGGACAATGTCTGCTGTGTACTGCAATCATCAGAAATATTGACTCCATGTATGACATGTATTTAGGCAAATTTAATGATGTCAGTGTGTGACAATCTCATGATATGCTACATATCGCAATACTTGGGTATCGATACACTACACATTGTTACACCTTATTTACATTGTATGTAGGTGAGGTTCTCCATGTTCTGTATACCCCGGCTAACAAGCAGTTGTTGCTATCAACCAGTTTGTGTTTAACTCACATGGTAACACTATCTCAAGTAATCATCAGACAGAGTTATTGCAGTATTTCATCAATATTACTTTTTGAAAAAATGATGTTGAGAATTTTCTTGATAGCCAAGTTTCGGAGTGTCATGATGAACCCAGCTCATTATATGATACATCTGACGATACTTCAGTCGAGAGTCTTTTACCATTGTTAGGCTGACAAGGGGATATTGTTAGCAACCCATTTGTTTCACTCTCAATACAGACTAATTTACACTTGCTCTAACAGTTCCATGCAAGCAGTTTTTGAACTATGTTATGTGGTGTTAAGGAAGAGCTGGCTAAAGCAATCATCGGTTATTGCAAGATTTCATAAATATTACTTTTTTTAAACCAATTTTGAATTAAATATTGATCGTGAAATAATTGTGAACACTTCACGGGTACTGCCTACACTATATTCCTCAGTCTAAGGCGCCGTGATTCGCTGTGCAGAGTTGCGTCCCTTGGGCACGCCAGAAACCTATGATTGTGGGTTCGAATCCCGGTTCGCCCCGATTATGTTTCTAGGTTTGTCAGCACCATGCTCTTGGGTTTCACCGAAGTACGTCCGTGACCTGCATCACTTCGGGCTTTTCTCCAACATTAAGCTGACAAGCCGTGATATACCTGGAATACTGTTAAAAGCGGCGTAAAATCCAACTCACTCACTCACTCACTCACTCACTCACTCACTCACTACATGACCCATGAAGAACTGACAATGTCAAAACATGTCAGTGTATCACATCGTCCTCTGTAAACTCATGACACCCCTATCCCATGTTAACATTTGATGCCTTGGACAGAAATATGTGAATCATTCTATACCAATCCAAGTAAATATCAGTTGGATTCAGTTATCAGTGCACACGTTAAACCTAAAACTCAAGACTTTGATGATTATGGACAGCTGAGAATCTTATTGATACCAGTTCAACTATATGAAACAACTGAACTTTATGAAATAATCTTTTGCCATGTCTAATGAACATGTTATTCATTTCACAGACCAGTGTGACACCCCTGGCAGCCCGGCCACGCCCTCCCCACTCCGCCCGAGTCTGGACATGGCAGCCATCAAGGCAGCCTTGGCATGTCAGTATGATGTACAGCAAATCCGACAAGCTGTTCTCAAATTCTTTATCTTGTCCCGTGAGTGTATTGTGCTCATGTTGAGGTCACTCGTCATCCTGCCTGTAGATTAAAGCGAATCCTTAATTCTTCTCATCAGTGTCATTCATTTGAAAATTGAGATTATCTCCCTTGAATATTTGTTTTAGTATTATCTCCCTTTGATATGTTTCTTTTGTTAAACTAAGTGAGTCTGTGAGAGTTTAATCCAAAAGCTGTTCCCAAACTAGCCTACAAGACATTCTCATGTTCTCAACTATTTTAATTGTTTATTGAACTTTGCTAAGCTTGGGTCAGTCAGAATAAGAATGAATTTGTGTTGTTCTCTAGAAATGTATATTTTAATTAGTTGTATTGGTGGGAAAAAGTATTAATGTATCCTTATTTCTGGGTATGCAGGATGTTTAGCATTATACAATAACATGGAATATAGTTGTACTTCTGAGGACATTTGTTCTTTTTGCAGTGGCTGTAGACAATGCATTTGATCAGTTATCATTTAAAAACTTTACATTTTATTACATGATTTTTTTATAATTTTTGTAGATGTAACTCTTTGTTTTTCTAACTCATCACAGATGGAGTAACCAGGCAAATATAAATACATTTACAGTCTGTGCCCAGAGATTTTGAGTATCAAGTCCAACATTTTATTTTAAGCTATTGGATAATAGTCAGCTGAACCTACTAGATCTAAAGAAATTATACCAGACTAGACTGGACTGGGGCTTCAGACTAGTGGCTAAAGTCCAGACTGTAGTCAAACTATATTTGTTTTATTTGCCATGGCCTTTGTATTGGCTGGTTATGAGGTTTGCTGGTTGAATCTGTGAAATGAAATATGAAGAATACATGTCTCCATAGTTACGAGGTCCCCTCGCTGCATCATCACATCTACCCTCTACCTGACAGGTGGGTTCTACCCTAACGAGGCACTGCTCCTCGGCACTCTGCGAGCCTCCGACGCCAACTTCTCCCAGCTACAGAGACAAAGGGAGTCAACCCACACCAACGCCCTGAGTCTCATCAGACAGAGCAAGGAGATCCAGCAGAAGGACCAGCTGCTGGAGAGGTGCAAGGAGGAGATGGAGCGCACCCACGAGGAGTACCACACGGAGCTGAGTCGGGAGCAGGCACAGCGGCGGTGTGAGATGCAGGCACTGACTGCCAGGCTGCAGGCACAGGCCCAGGTCATCCAGAGACAGGGGCAGAGACACGCCCAGGTGGAGCGCAGACACGCCCAGGTGGAGCGGAGACACGCCCAGGTGGTGCAGGACAAGGACCACCAGCTGGGACACAAGGACAACATCATCGGGAGTCAGGGAGAGGAGCTGGACAGGAAACAGAGGGAGCTGAACAGCCTGGCTGTGGAAATGAGGAGACAGGCCGAGGAGGTGAGGAGACAGGCAGAAGAGAACAGGAGACAGGCCGAGGAGAACAGGCGGAAGGATGAGGAACTGGAGAGACTGAGGCAGCTTCTACAAGGTAATGTTTTAGGCCACAAGGAAATAATTATCAGATTTGCATCGAAATGTTTCAAAAATGTAAGGTGGGAGTCATTTTATTTATTATATGTTTTCTTTTGTACATTAATGAGGGACTAGGCTCAGGTCATTTGTCCGTCATATTTATTGGATACTGGTACCAAGTTTATTGGACTGGTTTATCGCATCAATAACACTATCCATTATTATCCCCCGCCGCGCGAAAGCGCAAAGCGGGGGATATAGTATTCACGACCGTCCGTACGTCCGTCCGTACGTCCCACCTGTTTGTTGCCGCGATATCTCAAGAACTAAACACTGGATTGTCTTCATATTTGGAACTATGGTGTATATACAGACTCCGCAGACACCAGTCAGTTTTGGTGACCTTGACCCCATTTTAAAGGTCACAGCAGGCATATCTGCTTTTGGAGTTGGAAAACAGTGTTGCCGCGATATCTCAAGAACTAAACACTGGATTGTCTTCATATTTGGAACTATGGTGTATATACAGACTCCGCAGACACCAGTCGGTTTTGGTGACCTTGATCCCATTTTCAAGGTCACAGCAGACAAATCTGCTTTTAGAGTTGGAAAACCGTGTTGCCGCGATATCTCAAGAACTAAACACTGGATTGTCTTCATATTTGGAACTATGGTGTATATACAGACTCCGCAGACACCAGTCGGTTTTGGTGACCTTGATCCCATTTTCAAGGTCACAGCAGACAAATCTGCTTTTAGAGTTGGAAAACGGTGTTGCCGCGATATCTCAAGAACTAAACACTGGATTGTCTTCATATTTGGAACTATGGTGTATATACAGACACCGCAGACACCAGTCGTTTTTGGTGACCTTGATCCCATTTTCAAGGTCACAGCAGACAAATCTGCTTTTAGAGTTGGAAAACGGTGTTGCCGCGATATCTCAAGAACTAAACACTGGATTGTCTTCATATTTGGAACTATGGTGTATATACAGACACCGCAGACACCAGTCGGTTTTGGTGACCTTGATCCCATTTTCAAGGTCACAGCAGGCAAATCTGCTTTTAGAGTTGGAAAATGGTGTTGCCGCGATATCTCAAGAACTAAACACTGGATTGTCTTCATATTTGGAACTATAGTGTATATACAGACTCCGCAGACACCAGTCGGTTTTGGTGACCTTGATCCCATTTTCAAGGTCACAGCAGGCAAATCTGCTTTTAGAGTTGGAAAACGGTGTTGCCGCGATATCTCAATAACTAAACCTCTCGATTGTCTTCATATTTGGAACTATGGTGTATATACAGACACTGCAGACACCAGTCGGTTTTGGTGACCTTGATCCCATTTTCAAGGTCACAGCAGGCAAATCTGCTTTTAGAGTTGGAAAACGGTGTTGCCGCGATATCTCAATAACTAAACCTCTTGATTGTCTTCATATTTGGAACTATAGTGTATATACAGACACCGCAGACACCTGTCAGATTTGGTGACCTTGACCCCATTTTCAAGGTCACAGCAGGCAAATCTGTTTTTGGAGTTGGAAAACGGTGTTGCCACAATATCTCAAGAACTAATCGCTGGATTGTCTTCATATTTGGTACTATGGTGTATATGGCGGGGGATATTTCGTCACTCTGTGACAAATACTTGTATAATATGGTATACTTTATACTTTTAGACAAAATGTAATGAATAATGGAAACTTTACGATGTATCACTCCTGCTTTTATTCAGAAAGTATAAAAAGAGATGAAGGCATTTTTGTTAATTATATTATGAAATTAAAGTTGCATTGTTTAGTTCTGATTTTCTGCTTGATTGTATTTTCTTATTGGGGACCTGATTTATCACCAATGTTAGTTTATACATGGCACAATGTTCTGTTGGGTTACTGATTTATCACCAATGTTAGTTTATACATGGCACAATGTTCTGTTGGGTTACCGAATTTCAGAGGCTGGGAAACAGATGATTTCAAAACATATGGAAATATGTCCTCAAGATAAATCATCTATTTGTAGCCACTAGGGACTAGATATTTGTAGTTTTTACTATAGTCAGATACAAAATCTGATGTCAGCTTGGTTTCAGTGTAGTACTGCTGGAGTAAAATAACACTACTTGATGTACACAGAGGCCAGTACAAGCTTGTAGTTCTGTGATTCAAAGACTCAAAGTGTTCAGATGCCCTCTGTCCTTATTGCACCAGTCAAAACCTTGTCACAGAAGTCACCCGTTGTCTTATTGACATTATACTGTGCGTTATTTGTAGGAAACTAAATGTTTTCTGAGTACTTCTGAGATTAGCGAGGATTGTTGGGTAGCCTAGCGTTCGTTCTGCATGCAAAAGACCTGAGTTTGATTCCCCACATACTATGTATGAAGCCTATATCTGGTGTCCCCCGCCGTGGTATTGCTGGAATATTGCTAAAAGTGGTGTAAAACCATACTCACTCACGCTGAGATTATATGAATAAGCACAAGACATATTCAACTTACATCATTACCAAATTAGGATACATGGAAGTGACGAGATAAATGTGTACTATAAGTGTCAGGTATTAATGTGTTGATCCTTAGACTACTGAAGGACAACAGTTCATTTAGATAGAGTTCTCTCCTCATTAATTGAAGTTTATTATTAAGTTGTGAGATGCTTCTGTATACACCTGTATCATTATCATCGGATCATAGGTTTTCGGACATCGTACGTTTTCGGATGTTAATGCGATTACTCATGCTTTAACGGGGGTGTAGCATCACACAGACATTGTAAATACTCAGACGATGGCTTGTTTTTAAGAGAAAGTTGCTTTTGATTAGGAAATGAGATGTTGTTCATGTGATAAGAGAGAAAACCATGAATGTTTCTTTTGTGTCGAAAACCATCAAACCTAAAATTGCACAAATATGAATTTTGTCTTCAAAATTTACCTATTTTTATAATTTTGTACAGTTGTTGCTTTTGCAACAATCCATAAAAATCTTAACTTCATAATAATCCTTTCTTATTGCCTGGTTATTGATCCATGCACAGACAGGTTTTCCCTCGAGAATAAAATGTGACACTTCAAAATTCTTGGCCATGAACATCTGAGCATTTTGAACTCTGTATTTCATTAAACTCCATCTTGTTTGTTCTGCAGCTAACAACATACAGAACAACGGCCCTGTCAACAACGCTGCTGCTGCTGCTGCTGTCCCCGCCCCAGCTGTCCCCGCTGACCCCGCCTACGCCCGGTGTAAGGTGTGTCTGGAGGAGGAGGCCCAGTGTCTGTTCCGCCCGTGCCGACACGTGTGTTGTGGCACTCAGTGTGCCCCCCACTTCATCGGGAAGACGTGCCCCATCTGTCGGAACAATGTGCGTGACTGGGAGGTCATCTATGTGGCGTAGACACACACCTCAGCCCCATCTGTCGGAACAGTGTGCGTGACTGGGAGGTCATCTATGTGGCGTAGACACACACCTCAACCCCATCTGTCGGAGCAGTGTGCGTGACTGGGAGGTCATCTATGTGGCGTAGACACACACCTCAGCCCCGTCTGTCGGAGCAGTGTGCGTGACTGGGAGGTCATCTATGTGGCGTAGACACACACCTCAGCCCCATCTGTCGGAACAGTGTGTGTGACTGGGAGGTCATCTATGTGGCGTAGACACACACCTCAGCCCCGTCTGTCGGAGCAGTGTGCGTGACTGGGAGGTCATCTATGTGGCGTAGACACACACCTCAGCCCCGTCTGTCGGAGCAGTGTGCGTGACTGGGAGGTCATCTATGTGGCGTAGACACACACCTCAGCCCCGTCTGTCGGAGCAGTGTGCGTGACTGGGAGGTCATCTATGTGGCGTAGACACACACCTCAGCCCGGTCTGTCGGAGCAGTGTGCGTGACTGGGAGGTCATCTATGTGGCGTAGACACACACCTAAGCCCCATCTGTCGGAGCGGTGTGCGTGACTGGGAGGTCATCTATGTGGCGTAGACACACACCTCAGCCCCATCTGTCGGAGCGGTGTGCGTGACTGGGAGGTCATCTATGTGGCGTAGACACACACCTCAGCCCCATCTGTCGGAGCAGTGTGCGTGACTGGGAGGTCATCTATGTGGCGTAGACACACACCTCAGCCCCATCTGTCGGAGCAGTGTGCGTGACTGGGAGGTCATCTATGTGGCGTAGACACACACCTCAGCCCCATCTGTCGGAGCAGTGTGCGTGACTGGGAGGTCATCTATGTGGCGTAGACACACACCTCAGCCCCATCTGTCGGAGCAGTGTGCGTGACTGGGAGGTCATCTATGTGGCGTAGACACACACCTCAGCCCCATCTGTCGGAACAGTGTGCGTGACTGGGAGGTCATCTATGTGGCGTAGACACACACCTCCGTCTCAGAATCTTAGTGGCAGCTCTTAGGTGTCTGTTTTGTCCATGTGTTCGTTTTGTCATTTTGTTCTATTGTCTGTCTGTCCCCCGCCATGATTTTGCTGGAATATTGCTAAAAGCGGCGTAAAACCATACACACTCACACTATTGTCTATCTATTTTCGAGTCACAGGGACTCCGCGTGTTCCTCATTTCATCAGGAAAACTTGCCCCATCTGTTGGAACTTTGTGTGACTGGGAGATCATCTGTGTGGTGTGGACTATAGACCTCACATATTGCTCTACACCAGAAACTGGTAGATCATCTGTGTGGTGTGGACTATAGACCTCACATCTTGCTCTACACCAGAAACTGGGAGATCATCTGTGTGGTGTTGACTATAGACCTCACATCTTGCTTTACACCAGAAACTGGGAGATCATCTGTGTGGTGTGGACTTTAGACCTCACATATTGCTCTACACCAGAAACTGGGAGATCATCTGTGTGGTGTTGACTATAGACCTCACATATTGCTTTACACCAGAAACTGGTAGATCATCTGTGTGGTGTGGACTTTAGACCTCACATATTGCTCTACACCAGAAACTGGTAGATCATCTGTGTGGTGTTGACTATAGACCTCACATATTGCTCTACACCAGACACTGGGAGATCATCTGTGTGGTGTGGACTATAGACCTCACATCTTGCTCTACACCAGAAACTGGGAGATCATCTGTGTGGTGTTGACTATAGACCTCACATCTTGCTCTACACCAGAAACTGGGAGATCATCTGTGTGGTGTTGACTATAGACCTCACATCTTGCTCTACACCAGAAACTGAGAGATCATCTGTGTGGTGTGGACTATAGACCTCACATCTTGCTTTACACCAGAAACTGAGAGATCATCTGTGTGGTGTGGACTATAGACCTCACATCTTGCTTTACACCAGAAACTGGGAGATCATCTGTGTGGTGTGGACTATAGACCTCACATCTTGCTCTACACCAGAAACTGAGAGATCATCTGTGTGGTGTGGACTATAGACCTCACATCTTGCTCTACACCAGACACTGGGAGATCATCTGTGTGGTGTGGACTATAGACCTCACATATTGCTCTACACCAGAAACTGGGAGATCATCTGTGTGGTGTTGACTTTAGACCTCACATATTGCTCTACACCAGAAACTGGGAGATCATCTGTGTGGTGTGGACTATAGACCTCACATCTTGCTCTTCACCAGAAACTGGGAGATCATCTGTGTGGTGTTGACTATAGACCTCACATATTGCTCTACACCAGAAACTGTTACATGTCATGACCTGTATAGAAATGCTATTTTAGCGGAAGTATATTTTTAAGAAAAAGGAACTAATATCTTCTTGAAATATGTTTTGAAGCCATCTTTATTTATTTTATCAACTATATGGAACACTTTGATACACCAGGAATTGTTACTTAATTGTTATGACCTGTATAGAAATGTTTTTTAGTGGAAATATGTTGGAAGACAAAGTAACAGATATTATTATCAAATATGTTTTGAAACCATCTATATTTGGTATATCTACTATATGGAACAGTTAGATCTATTTTGTGACATATATCTTTGTGTATTTATAATTTATTAATATGTATTTTTTACATATTTTATTATGTACAAACACAACCACTCAAAGTTGAATGGAATTCTCCTGGAATATAATCCACCTGGAAAGAAAACTGAGGATCTTTTTTAGTTTCCTATCTCCGGAAACTGCCATGTGTCTGTTGGAAATATCTACATATGACGTTGATCAGAAATTGATAAATGCCTAATACACCGATACCTGCTTGAAGTGTTGTACAAGACCTCTGCATGTTTCTCCAGAAGGCCCCAGTTACCATGGTTACTTGATCATCCCATGTGATGCAGAGAAACAGAGGAAACAGTAGAAAGGGCACTCAGATAACTTTGGCCGTGGAGAATTTACAAAACATGTTGTCAGATAATAGTTTTTGGTTTGTATTGTATTGTATTTCAATATGAACATGGCACTTTCTAAACAAAATTAAATGTAGTTCATCACAAAAATTACAGGATATGATTCTAAAAAATGACTTTTGATATGAAAATATATTGTAAGTGGGCCTTGACTTTATTCTAGGTGTGTGTATCTGTCTCCTAACTCTCACTCTCCACCTCCTGTCTGTATCTCTTCTATGAAGCTGCTGGCGGCTCCTAACTCTCACTCTCCACCTGTCTGTATCTCGTCTATGAAGCTGCTGGCCGCTCCTAACTCTCACTCTCCATCTCCTGTCTGTATCTCATCTATGAAGCTGCTGGCAGCTTCTAAGCATCTGTTATGTGTCTGTTTTGGCCAGGTGTAGTATCTGTCTTGTATGTTTTTGTCAGTCATTTATTAAAGGGAAGGGGAGGAGGCAGAGATATTTTAGAAATAATTACAGAAATCTTCGAAACAGTTCAAAGTTCATCTAATGAAGGTCCTCCCCAAATGCTTTCATTCCTGACCCTCCGCTTCACGTGAACTAAGTGTTCCCTCTGTCTGCATGTCTCATGGTCAGATAAGCAGTGGGGTAGCCGAGTGGGTAAAGCGTTTGCTCGTCATGCTAAAGACCCGGGTTCGATTCCCAACATGGGTGCAATGTTCGACGCCCAATACTGGTTTCCCCTACCAAGATATTGCTGGAATATAACCATACTCACTCACTCTCATGTTCAAAATCTAAGTAACTGTTTAATTTTCATGACCCTCCCCTCAACACTGTCATGTTTTTTGGTTAGCCTCCCCTGGTCCCTCTAGCCCCTGTCCCACTACTAAATGACTGAACTTAATAACGCTTGATTGATATTGTACAGAGATGTTCATGTCTGTAGTCATCGTCATGTATTTCATTCAAAGACACACAGCTGGCTTGTATATATCTCAGACCATAGTGCTATTTCTATTCTGTGGTTCTCCATATGTATTTGATTGCATGTCTTCAGATATTTGTACATACACTTTACCCACCTCATCAGATTTTCATCCAAATTGTTCAAAAAGGGGACCTTTTGTATAAATTTGTCTGCATATATGTAGGTATGTAGGTATATATTTTCCAACACACTGTACTTCAGTGTACAGTATCTGTCGTGGGATGAGATTCACCTGTAACTTGACTGTGTGGCAGGACCAGGTACATGGTGTTGTTCATCAAGTAACGGAACGAAGGAAACACATGTAGAGAACCTGATTGTCTGGCCCAGACTCGCTAATTTACAGACTGGTCTCATATAGCTGGAATATTGCTGAGTGTGGCGTTAAACAACAAACAAACCAAACTTTGTGGACGACATCCAGTTTAACTTAATAATCATTCCCACGAAGCATTCCATGAGTTTCCACCCTTTTCAGCAACAGTAACAACCTATGCAACAACACTACAGCAGGGCCTACATCCACTACATTTCCATATGGTGCCATTTCTATATAGTGCTAACATTGTCCCCTATATATGAGGTCAGTCCTACCTTCATTGTACTTGTTACTATGGTTACATTAAGTGGTCCTGTTGCTGGCAACATTAGCAGACTGAGCTAGGACAAATCAGTGGAGTTAACAATGTCACTTTTTGTAATAATTATTCTGTGCTGATGAGTGGAATTAAGAATTTGTCTGTGAACCAGGAGTCTTGATCTGTCGTTTATTATTCCTGATTGTCTTCAGTCATTAGTTGCCATACTGCTGTTATACGACGTGAGCAATAGATTATTATGTTGTTATAGGGCATCATCTGCTGTTATATACTGCTTATTGATTGAGTAGTGGATATAATTAGTTTTATTTCATAATGAACTTGCGTTATGGAATAATACATGATGTTATTGGGTTGATTATTGTAATGATGTTTTGGATCTGTTATAACTGAAATGCATTGAAAAGACGTTTAGCTACAGCCTATGAGCAGATGAGAGCTGGGAGACATAAGGCAACTACAGGGGTACAACCTTCTAATTTTACACTAGTCAGAAAAATCCATAGAAGTCCTCACATAGGGGACTCAACCCCCAAAAGAACTAGAATTCTTACTTTACTAAGAAAGTGTTATTGTTGAATAAAGAAGTTGTCATCCTTAAAAAATTGATGTCTTCTTGAAAATATGGTATGAATAAACTATGTACGTATAACAACAAGTGTTGTGTTGTGTGTCTAAAGATATGTCCACAGAAGATTTATCTGTCTGTGAGTTTGGTTCAATGCTGCTTTGAACTATAATTCACCTATACCACGACAGCTCAGCTTGATGTAGAAGCGAAGCCTCAAGGGAGTCAGGGTATAGTGCAGATTTATCATCTGGGCGATTTGGAATTCAAACTCACGAACAGAGGTTTATGACTTCCCGAAGGTGTTGTGTTGTGGCAATCAGCACAACACCATGTTCACAGAACACGTTCAACAGGTCCATGTTTGGGGACAAAGCTAATTTTTTATTTTGCAATTTTTTAATTTTAGATGTTGAACATTAGAACATACCAAATAGTGGCCGGGTAAGTATTGTGGTATTAGCAAAACCCTAAATGGGCCCCATCTTTAAATGGGCCTCAGCGAAAGACAGGAGGGGAGATAACTCTCACAAACATCCTGCAAGCACATGGCACCAGCCCCACTCTTGTACACGGCTACACTTACAGTGATTAAACACAGTTAACAAACAAAGACATGTTTGTCATATCGCCAAAAGTATGACCAGGCTGACGGATTGTACATCTGAACTATCTCTGTTAGAATTAGTCCCCATCATCACATGCTGGTCGGGTGGTCAGACTTGGTGATGATGTTGATTGTGTGTCATCGTACCCCGGTGTCATGGGTCGTTGCTCACAATAGCAATCACTGGATCATCTGGCCCAGACTCAATTATTTACAGACCGCCTACATATAGCTAGAACAAGTGCCAAGTGCGGCATTAAACCACAAACAAGGATCACACACGGTACATCACACCATTTATACCCCTCGGGATCGGGGTACATAGGCTCACACACAGGGTACATCACACGATATACCCCTCGAGATCGGGGTACATAGGCTCACACACAGGGTACATCACACGATATACCCCTCAGGGTCAGGGTACATAGGCTCACACATGGTACATCACACGATATACCCCTCGAGATTGGGGTACATAGGCTCAACCAAGGTACATCACACGATATACCCCTCGAGATCGGGGTACATAGGCTCACACACAGGGAACATCACACGATATACCCCTCGGGATCGGGGTACATAGGCTCACACACAGGGTACATCACACGATATACCCCTCGGGATCGGGGTACATAGGCTCACACACAGGGTACATCACACCATTTATACCCCTCGGGATCAGGGTACATAGGCTCACACACAGGGTACATCACACCATTTATACCCCTCGGGATCAGGGTACATAGGCTCACACACAGGGAACATCACACGATATACCCCTCGGGATCGGGGTACATAGGCTCACACACAGGGTACATCACACGATATACCCCTCGAGATCAGGGTACATAGGCTCACACACAGGGTACATCACACGATATACCCCTCGGGATCAGGGTACATAGGCTCACACACAGGGTACATCACACGATATACCCCTCGAGATCAGGGTACATAGGCTCACACACAGGGTACATCACACGATATACCCCTCGGGATCGGGGTACATAGGCTCACACACAGGGTACATCACACGATATACCCCTCGGGATCGGGGTACATAGGCTCACACACAGGGTACATCACATGATATACCCCTCGAGATCGGGGTACATAGGCTCACACACAGGGAACATCACACGATATACCCCTCGAGATCGAGGTACATAGGCTCACACACAGGGTACATCACACGATATACCCCTCGAGATTGGGGTACATAGGCTCACACACAGGGTACATCACACGATATACCCCTCGAGATTGGGGTACATAGGCTCACACACAGGGTACATCACACGATATACCCCTCGAGATTGGGGTACATAGGCTCACACACAGGGTACATCACACCATTTATACCCCTCGAGATCGGGGTACATAGGCACACACACAGGGTACATCACACGATATACCCCTCGAGCTCAAGCTCGGTTGATAACTTATAATATTTTAGTTTTCAAATGTTAGGACATCAGTATGTCATAAGGAGAGGCATACATATCACTTGTGTTATAGCCTTCAAACTTCATTTATCATGAACGCTTGGTAGGTGGGATAGCCTAGTGATTAAAGTGTTCACTCGCCATGCAAAAGGCCAGGTTCGAATCCTCACAAGGGTACAATATGTCAAGCCCATTTGTGGTGTCCTTT